CCTGCCTCTGCCTCCCGAGTGCTGGGATTAAAGGTGTGCGCCACCACACACAGCCCCCTAGGACTAGGATTAAGGCACCCAGGTTGGCAGCCTGCCTAGCCCCCTGCTCCCCCTCTGCCAGGCAGCACCCAGACAGAGAGTTAGCAGTGACAACTGCTACCCACTCACTAGAGCATGACATGGGCTGTTCCCACTTGTGGCTTCTCAGAGCTGCTCACCAACCCCCCCCCCCCTTCAGGAGTTAGTGTGGGAACAGGATGAGGGCTGGATTAGAAAAAAAGCTTGTACCTTTTCTTGGGCTGGGCTGGGTCTAAGGAAGGATCTAGTTGCTCTGCACTGGCAGAGGGCTGTGTCTGGAGGCTGGCTCCTCCTCCCAGCTCCTGCTCTTCAAGGTTGTTGTCCAGAAACTTCAGCCAGCGGGACTCAGAGGGCTGAAATTTTCCCTACAGTGTCGGGACAGAGAGCGATTCTGAGTTGAAAAGTAGCCAGTTTACTCACAAATCCCAGACTAAGCCTTAGGTCCAAAGGTCTTGGGACCCATGTCTCCCTGATTACTGTGATAAACAGCTGGTAGGGCACAATGGGGATGCAGTTGCCCTGAGACACCTGTAGGATGGTGCACGCAGAACCAACACCCATCTTTCAAACGTCAACATTCTCAGACCCAAGGACTTTTATAAGGAGCAAGGGCACAAAGATGCTCATTGCGGTGCTACAAATAGTGGCAAGTACTTGTGACAGCAGAGGTGAGCAAACAAAGGCCTCCCATAAGGCAACCAACACTAGCGTGCATGACACTTGAAGAAAGCTTCCAGAGATGAAAATCACTAGAAACCACACCCAGAGAAGAGTAGAAGGGCCTCCTTCCCTCCCTCCTGGTGCTGAGGGCCAAGCTGCACCCATGCTACCAAGTGCTCCACTGCAAAACTGCATCCCAGCCCCAGGTACTTTAAGAAACAATTTTTTTTTTTTTTTTTTTTTTTTTTTTGGAGAAAGGGTCTGTGTAGCCACAGCTGGCCTGGAACTCACTATGTAGACCAGGCTGGCCTTGAACTCACAGAGATCTGCCTGCCTCCTCCTTGGAGTGCTGGGATAAAAGGCGTGCCACCACCATGCCCAGGCTTTAAGAAACAGTTTTTGTAAAAGAAAACTGTTCTGGGACAAGGTCTCCCTGTAGCCTCAGCTGGCCTGGAACTCACTATGTAGACCAGGCTTTTTATTTAAATTATGTATGTGTGTGTGTGTGGTGGTGGTGGTGGTGGTGGGGTTACATGAGAGTGCAGTGCCCTCAGAGGCCAGGAGAGGGCATCAGATCCCTGGGAGCTGGAGTTACAGAAGGTTGTAAACGACCTGATGTGGATGCTGGGAACCAAATTCTGGTCCTCTGCAAGGGCAGTGCTCTTAACCAATAAATTATCTCTCTAGCCCTACCTCTTCCAGGTATTTCTTCTAATAAATGGCATAAAACAATCTTTGTAAAGGGACTGAATAGGAAGAACATAGACACAGCTGTCAGAAGGGCTGGGCTAGTGCTAGTATACTTAGCACTTTCTCATAATAAAAATATGAAAATCAGAGCTGGGCATGGTGGCCCACACCTTTAATCCCAGCTCTTGGGGAGGCAGAGGCAGGTAGTGAGTTCCAGGCTAGCTGGGGCTACAGGGAGACCCTGTCTCAAAAAGAGTGGAGAGGATGTGGCCAATGTGAGCCTACAAGCAGAGGCAGGAGCTGCAGGTGAACAGCTGTCTCTACCCCTCTGGCACTGGCAGTACCCAGGGCTCCCTGGAACATACCCAGTGTCACTTCAAAAATCCCCACAAACTGCCCAGCCAGCAGTGCCTACTCAGACAGCCTTCTCACAGGCTCAGGACAGAAGGTGCTGGATGTTTCTCTTCTTCTGGAGCAGTTCCCAACCTGGAGCAAAAGAACATGAAGCCCTGGCACTTTACCTGCATCCTTGCCCTACAGAGGTATACCCCAAGTGCAGTGAGAAGTGGGAGCAGCACAAGGTAAAGTTGGGGTGAAGTTCAGAGTGCTTTCTAGGCAGGCAAGAAGCTTCCAAATTACAGAACAGGTAATGATTCACACACAGGCCTCTGCCCTCAGGTATACTCATGGTTGTTTCCTGTAGTTTCACACACAGCAGTGCCTGTCACTATCGTGTGTGTGTGTGTGTGTGCGTGCGTGCACGCGCACTGAGCATTCAATCAAGAGTCTCGTGTATATTAAGGCAAACAAATGACTAATGAATCAGGTCAACTGAAAAGTAGAGAAGGTTGTAATTTTGGGCTAATCATCTGCATTGTGCCCCAAAAGGCCAGACTAAAATGCAAAATCGAGTCATCCATGCTAAAAGCCTACTGTACTAAACTGAAACTAAATTACTGAAAATCAGGAGAGCGATAACAGGCTGTTGTCACACGAAAGCAGAAGTTCTCTCTGCATTGCTCCTTACCCTCAAAAGTACCCTGAAGAGGCCAAGCGTGGTGGCGCATGCCTTTAATCCCAACGCTCGGGAGGCTGAGGCAGATGGAGCTCTGTGAGTTCAAGGCCAGCCTGGTCTACATGGTGAGTTCCAGGACAGCTGGGGCTACAGGGAGACCCTATCTTAAAATTTTAAAAAAAAAAAAAAAAAAAAAAAAAAAAACCACCCAGAAACAAAAAAGTAGCCTGAAGAGAACAGATCAGTCATGTTCCTGTCCTCATGTTAGAGGAAGTAACTTTGAAATGACTAGTTTACTCTATTTCTGTCACCCATGTGCTCATGGGACTGGAGAGATGGCTCAGTGTTAAGAGCACTTGCTACTCTGGCAGAGGCCTGGAGGTCAGTTCCCAGCACCCACATCAGCAGTTCCAGGGGATCTAACACCACAAACCCACACACTAATACAAACAGACACATGAATGGACGGACACACACACACAAAGCGTCAATGGAACATTTATTCTACTTTATGAAATGAAGTGCTCCCTGTTTCTACAACAGCAAATATAGCCAACTGAGATCTTTAAATGTCTTGGAATTCTGTTCTTTGATAATACACAGGCAGACTCTCACACAGCAGCCCAGGGAGCAGGGTGGGGACAGACGAGGCTGCTTACCTGCAGACTCTTGTTCTTAGCCTGCCGAGAGCCTGCATTTTCTTCTTCTTGGGCTCTTAGAGCCTCGTCCACAGACCTTGGGGGCAGATCAGGAATGTGCCTTTGTAAAACCAGCAGGAAGATGCAGGACAAGAAAAGTAAAGCAAGCAGGATGCAGGGCTCTGATAAGGCTAACCAGGCCTGTTCTGGGGTGTCTTGGGGGCCCTGATGTGATTCAGTCGTCTCCCAGCAGTTCAGGGAGTCTGGCAGAGAGCACTGGCTTCCTGTAACTGAGGGGCTGGACAGACAGGTACTATACCTACTGTGTGAGCACGCAGGAGGTTAGAGACAAGCCATGTCCACTCACCTCACACAACTCTATTACAGGACCAGTGTGGATTCTCTTTAGTGAGCTCCAGACTCTACTATAAGTGGGCACCCCTACCTAAGTTACCTCACCAGCTGAAAGAAGCCAGTAAATCTCACAGGGCTATTATGTGTGTGTGCAAACCTGTGGGTTTGGGGATCAAACTCAGGTTATCAGACTTGGTGGCAAGTGCCTTTGCCCACTGACCCATCTCATTGTTTCCAAAATTTACTTCTCAACAAGGTAATTGGACATCCAGCTGTCCATCCAGATACAGACCTGCACAAATGGCCTATGTGATAAGACCAATGAAGTCTCTCCTCTTCTGCTGTTGTAAAAACGTCTACTCCTTCAGTGACCTGACCTCTTCTCTGGGAACTTGACTGCTCCTTTCATTGTCTGCTGCTTTTCCTAGCCTTCCCACACCATTCTGCACAGCATTTGGGTGGTCCGCACAGAGACCTCTCTTTGCGTCCCTCGGCCCCTCTTTGCTCTGGTATTTATAGTGGATGGCTGATGGTCTGGGTGGCTGACAGTCCCTGGCTGGGACTACTCTCCAGCAGGACCTGAAGCCCTTTGAATGTGATCCAGACTGCACAAGGAAATGAACAAACTTACTGTTTGCAACTGATAGGTGGACTCTGGCCAAGGTTAGTCTTTGGTGGGACCCAAAAGAGACAGAAAAAGGATCGCCTATTCTAATCCATGCGGGTAAGGGACTACTCTCTTCTTCCTGGGAACCCCTCACATCCAAGGTGAACCCACATTTCCTGGAGGGCTCCTGACTCCCTCTCTCCTCTCTTTCCTCTGGCATTTGTCAGACTGGGTGAGGCCAATGTAGGTATCCCTGCTCCCCTCCTGGACAGACTTCCTGACCTGACAGACTTATAGGTGACCAGGCTTTCATTTCTCCAGGACAGTGAGTTTCCTGTCCTTATGACTGATCCATGGCCAAGTTTTGGGCTGTGAGTCTCTCCTAGAGGTTTGGCCTACCAACTGGACACTCTGACTCCAGAGTAGTGGGTAGCTATGAAGTGAAACCAGGTTTCACTTTCACAAGTTGGGGACCCTCTGTTCTTGAAGGGATGCTTCTAAGGAAGACTTGTGGATGCACCTTACTAGGATCCATGATGGGTCTCACACTCACCACCCCATCTGACACATCCCTGGCATGTGTATTCTTCTGGCACTTTCTTCGTTGTGGGACCCTTGTTTTCCTCTCCTCTGGCATGGACCCGCTCCTGGCTCTGCTTCCCCTTCTCTCTAGTGTCTATAATCTCATCTAGTCTCTGCCAGACAACATTTCTTAGACTTGTGGTAGGGATTGAGAACTGCCAGATGTTCAACTGTTTTTGCAGAAGCCTCTTGTGAAAACTTCAGTTGCTATGTGTGTTTGGGCTATAAACAGACATGACACAGCCCTTCTGGATCAAGCCAATGACCCCAAGGACCCAATACACTGTCATGTTAGATGTTCACCCTTCCTGATGCCTCTTTCTATGCCTCAGGGGACAACACTGGGACCCCAGTGAGGGCCGCTGACTTTTCTTTTGCCTGAGAGACTTTGCAAGCTGCTCGGAGCCCGGTAGGCAGAGGCTACAACAGGAGCTGATGACCCTTATGTCTGGTGACAAATTTCTGCTTTCCCTGAATCTGACAACTTTGTCAAATGGATAGGGACCATCCATGGAGCAGCTGGCGCAGTGTATGAAGACCTGCGGTATAAACTCTCCCTAGAGCTCCCCAGTGGCTACCTTGCAATGCACCCACAGTGAAGTTCCTCACACCCTGCTATCAACCCAGCGTGGGCACACAGGGTAACATCTGCCTGGACATCTTCAAGGATAAATGGTCTGTCCTGTATGACGTCAGGACCATCTTGCTCTCTATCCAGAGCCTGTTAGGAGAACCCAACATTGATAGCCCTTTGAACACACATGTGGCTGAGCTCTGGAAAAACCCAGAAGCACCTTCAGGAAACCTACTCAAAGCAGGTCTCCAGGTGAGAGCCCTGACCGAGTGTGTGGCCTCTTCTGCGTTGTCTTTTATTTTTTCCTTAGATAGTCTGTCCTTTCCTTGATCCATACCTTGAACTGTGGTGTTATTTTTGTTTTATTTCTGTTTTTTAAATTAAGTATGCGTGAGCCCTTACAATGTATATTAAATAAATGGTGCTTGTTCTTGTAAAAAAAAACTACAAAAAGTTAAAAATCTATTACTTCGTCTTCAAGACTGATAAACTGTCCTTCTGGGTATTCAACAACCAAAGCTTAGAGCCAACAAAGCTAAAAGGTCAAGAAGGAAGAACTTTGGACCTTGTCCTCTAAGGCTAGTCAGGGCTCAGGGACAATGGGAACACTCCAAAAAGTTCAGCAAGTCGCTTGTCACTCGCTATGTAGAACAGACTGGCCTTGAACCCACAGATACTCACTGCTTCTGCCTCCTGAGTGCTGGGATTAAAAGTGTGTGCCAACTCACCAGTTCGTCCTCTTGATCAGAGAAGCCATGGTGACACCAGAGATGGGACTCTAACCAGTATATGTCCTTCAGTGAGCAGCATCACTGGAGGGAAAAATGTACTGTGCTCCCGAGGAAAGTCACATGATATAAGACCCTGCCCCATCCCAACAGCTGGAGTAAGTGGAAGAGGAAAAGTAGAGGAGTGGAGCGGCTCCCCGGAAGTCCCTAGAGTAGCCTAAGGAGACTCGACTGACTTTCACAGTTTAAAAAAAAGGTTAATTTTTGGCCATCTACATTGTCTTAAACACCCAACAGGAAATAATGCCCCCAAATACTTTAGTAATGCTATAAAATACAACTCTATGAGCTCTGAGCTGGGTGTGGTAGCACATGCCTTTAATCCTAGCACTTGGGAGGCAGAGGCAGTTGGATTTCTGTGAGTTCAAGGCCAGCCTGGTCTACATAGTGAGTTCTAGGCCAGCTGTGGCTACACAGAGATCCTGTCTCAAAAAGAAAAAAAAAATTCTATGAGCTCCTGACCAGGATTCTCAGCCCGACCCAGTTCAGCCAGGGGACCAGGTGCTTCTAAAGACCTACATAGACATTCAAGTGACTGGCTTCAGCCCATTTAAAAGGGACCCCAAGGGCCAACTTGAGAGAAATAAATCTGTGGGCCCAAGAGCCAGAGTGCCTGATCATAGAACTACCCCAACAGAAGACCTTTTGAGAGCATTTACACTCACCCTGCTGTGCCCCACCAGGTAAATCCTTTCTTTTTTGGTCTTTTTGAGACAGGGTCTCCCTATAGCCCCAGCTGTCCTGGAACTATGTAGACCAGGCTGGCCTTGAACTCAAGAGATCCGCCTGCCTCTGCCTCCCCAGTGCTGGGATTAAAGGTGTGCGCCACCATGCCCGGCTATAAATCCTTTCTTGACTGCCTACCATTAAAGCCTTTTCAAGAAGTTCTATTTTTCTATCAAAATGAATCTGTCTGCCTCTGAATAAAAAAAAATCCAACTGTTTGCTTAATGTTTTCTCTATTATTGCCCCAAAAAAATCTCCATTACTGATCGACCTGTCTTGCTCATCCTCAGGTTCAACTTACTGGCCTGTACTTTACCCTACTAGTCTTCAAAACATGTCCCTTAGGGTCTCTTGTGTGCCTTAGGCACCTCAGGACCACCAGGGCATCGCTGAGCAACTGGTCCACACTAACCAGTCACAGCTAGATCCATCTTGACTCCTTCCTCACAAGGGCCCACAGGGAAAAATAAACGCAAATTCTCTGCTCCCTATGGCACAGCTCTTGCCTTCCTGCCCTTCCCTAAGGGGTAGAACTCTTCCTTCACACCAGGCCTGCTGCTCCGTCCTTTCCTCTCACTGCCAGTTTTTTCATTGTTTGAATAGACATGGTTACGGCAGTTGGCCTTTGTTATCCTTCCAGTAGGATTTCTTTTCTTTTTCTTTCTTTTTTTTTTTTTTTTGGTCTTTTTGAGACAAGGTCTCCCTGTAGCCCCAGCTGGCCTGGAACTCACTATGTAGATCACAGAGATCTGTCTGCCTCTGCCTCCCAAGTGCTGGAATTAAAGGCATGTGCTACCACGCCTGGTAGGATTTCTTTTTTAAAAAAATCCACCACAGTGCAGAGTTCTGACCTCCTTCTGGCCTCTCTTTAACAGAGGGGCTGAGAACACAGGTGACTGCCTGAGAGCCCTAGATTTTGCCTCCACACAGTAGTGAGCTTCCCATAATTATGCCATACCCATCCCCCTACCTGGGATTTCGAGAAGGCCCTCCCAAGGTCTAGGGCAGATGTGGCTTTGGTAGGTGAAGGCTGAGATCCTAGCGGATAACCTGAGGCGGGGACTGCCTGAGAGTGCCCAGATCCTGACTCCACGTGGTGAAGGAAGCCTCAGTGTACCTGACTGGAACCTGAATTGGGCTTCTGTGGGTACTCCTAAATAGCTGATCTGAAGCCATCAGTTCCCTTCAAATGAAATCTGAGAGAATCTGAACCTTGTACTAACCAGCTTTACATAACCAATAAAGGATCTAGGCACCCAGATAATACAAACAGAAGCATACTTCAACTTAATTCTCATATCAAAGTCATTTTTTTTTTGTTGCCTAGCGGACCCCTAAACCAGCCTTCCCCCACCCCCCACGTCGACCCTGTCCAGCAGGAAGTAGCCAGATGACAACGGTGCCCCCTGTCCTATAACACAAAAGGCTGGAATGTTAGGGTTCCAAACAGCAGCCCCCCTCCCCAA